CCTCATTTCATATAGAATAAAAGCAGTCCAACACAGAGCTTTTAGTAAAGGCTCAATGACTGAACATATTTTAGTTGAAATTTTGTTACTAGATTATACTTGATCTGAGCCTTCAGGAGGCTGAGAAGTGAATACATATATATATCTAGAGAGAGAGAAAAGCAAATATATATCTTAGCCTATGCTATATTAAATTCAAAGTTCATTTTAAACTGATTTATTTCTAAAAAGAAAAGCTTAATTATAACTTAAATCTAAATTTTAAAAAAATCAGATTAAATTTTTTAATCTGTTGGTTTTGTGGGGTTTTTTTTGTTTTTTTTAAAGAAAAATCTATTTTTATCCACCCCAGTCAAGGTGCTATGTCTTCACAAATATTGTTACCTTCACTAGCTAAATAAAAACTACCTTATGTCCACGTACCCTTGCTAGGATTACATTTCAATTCCACAATGCAGATGTATAGTACTGGTTTCCAATCTATTTATACATCACTCGACCAAAAGACTTAACATCAATTCGAAATCTAGTCAGCTTAAAAAATCAAGTTGTAAACTTAACTCTTCTTAACTGTTCTCCTGTTTCTGTCTTATTGCATTGCATTCTGCCTTTTAAACATTAAAAAACTCTCCCACTTTCATCTGTTGCTATATAAAATCTCCAAAGAAAGGAGATGAAACTGTACAACTGGCTATATGCTAAATTTTATTTTATGTATCTCATCTTTTAATAATAAAAGGAATCTTCAGCATTAATTAGACCAATAGTATGTAAATACACTGTTTAAAAAGACTAACCCTTAAATTAATACATAATAAACCTTGCAGATTAAATTACAGGAATATATCCTGCTCTGCCAGGAAACTGTTCATTCATCAAGTCCCCTGTTAATACTTTTTTGGTTTTGGGAAATTCTTCCCTACTCCCCCTGAAGTCTGTTCCACAGATATCTTCCTCCATAACTGAACTGCCTGTATTTTATCACAAAAGATTCCAGACTGATAAACTAGTTGGGAGTCGTCACACTGCTACCAGTAGTAGTAAAGGAAAGATGATCTTCAAAGGTCAAGATTCATCTACAATGTGGAAGAGATGAGACTAGAGGCATGGTGGGAAGGACAGTTAGTGGTAGAGGTCATGTCTACCCCTAACAATAATCAATTTTTAGTTTAAAAAAAGTAACTCCAAAATCCACATTTTTCAGTGATTAAAATGAAACACCACTATATATACATCTATACATAAGTGGTGTTTCATTTTAATAATGGAAATATGTGGATTTTGGGTTACTTTTTTAAAACAAAAATTGGGGATTTCTTTATTTATCAGAGAAAACCAGGACCCCTGCCAATAACTATGCTTCTATTAAAGCTCTTCAAAAGAAGCATACCTGTCCCCCAGCTTGACCATTCAGGACCCTGTGCCTCCCAACTGAATATCACCCACCTCTCCATTGACTGTCAAGTGTCTCTAAAGCATTTGTTTTTCCGTTCTGAAATAAGAGGTGGGCTGGAACACTGGTATAATGGGATGGAACCTGGGGACTAAGAGAAGTTCCAGAGAGTAACTTGTCTGCTAGACCGTTAACAGTTCTTTACAGAAGAGATGCAGTATAGCAGTCGTCTCCAACCTTTTTGAGTAGGAGATCACTTTTTGAATTAAAAAGCACCCCAAGATCTACCCTGCACAGCCACCACCACCCCTCTCACCCTTGCGGGTTAGTCTGTGAAGGAGGGAAGAGGGGGGAGATTGAGGCAGAGGGAGAAAAAATTATTTGGCGGTGCAGGTAAGTCTGTGGGGAGAAGGGGTGGAGGTCAGGGAAAGAGTGTGGCAAGGGGTGAGGGCAGATCAAGGCCCCAGAGGTGAGGGAGGGAGTGGGGCACACGCAGGAGCAGGGACTGAGGCGAGTGGGCCTGGCCAGGCCAGGTGGTGGGACAAGCGGAGGCCCAGGGGCGACGTGTCCCCCAGGCCTCCACTTTTCCCTCACTTTCCTCAGCCCCTGCTCCTGCCTGTGCCCTGCTCCCTCCCTCACCACTGAGGCTTCGATCTGCCCACCCCGTTCCCCTCCCAGCCGTGAGTGAAGGAGTGGAGCAGAAGTAGGCCCTGCAGAGCCAGGATGGGCGCAGGACAGAGTTTGGGAAGTGCAGGGCCCAGCCCAGGAAGGCATGGGGGGTCACGTGCCCCTGGATCTGCACGCAGGGCGGAACAGAGCAGGCTGGAACCGAGGCAGCGCACGGTTCAGCAATTCGGCCACATGGCTCAGTTCTGGGACCAGGTGGCAGCAGTGGCAGTGGTGGGAGCAAGGCTACAGGGAGGGCTGTAGGCACCTGAAAATTTGTCGTAGCCACCTCACTGCCTCCCAGTGACACCACGTGCTGCCCTGCCCCACCCCGCATGCAGATCCAGGGCCACAGGCCCCCCCTGCCCTCCTGGGCTGTGTGCCCCCCTCAACCCCCAGATGAGCCACTCATGGCTCCGTCCTGTGCTCACCCTGGCTGTGCAGGGCCTGCCCCTGGTTCGCACTCCCCGTCACCACTGCACGCGCCCCTCCCCACCCCTGCTGCAGCTACCAGAAGCCCATGGCCAGGCTGCCTTGCAACCCTACCCACTGTCCCACGTGTTGGGGGGATAAGCCTCATTATCCCACTCTTCTGCCAGCTATGACCCCACCATGCCCCCTGCCACTGGGTGAATGGGACCTTGGCCGGGCTGGGCTGGGTGAGGGTCAGAGGCTGGTTAGCTCGTTCAGGTGTGCGGGGGGCTCCCACTGCTGGGCGCATCCCAGCAGAGACCTTGGGGGCCCATGCTCCCTGACCTGTGCTCAGGACAAGGCAGCTGCTGCTAAGGGCTGCCTGCTGCACCCTGAACACAGGTCGGGGGGCAGAGGCCTCTGCTGGGGTGCACCCAGCAGAAGGAGCACCCCTGCTGGATGACCTGATCTTCCCAGACCCAGCTGGGCCAGGGCTGCCCCCACTTGAGTCCCCACTGCTGAGCTGAGCCACACCCCAACATGGCCAGCTGCAGTGGGACCTGAGGCACAGTAGTAGCTGCCTCCATCCCCAAGCTCCAATCCTTCCACCACCCAGCTGGGCTGGGACCCCACTTGCCTTTCCCCGCTCCTGGCTGGGCCATGAAGTCAGTCACTCACCATGAGGGCCTTGATCCAGCCCCTGCCCCTTCCCTCCTTGACAGACTGACCTGTTGGGGCTGGGGGCAACAGGTGTGTGCATGTGCAAGCACCAAGCTCTCCCCCAGCCCAGGATTGACTCAAAGAGGCTCTGGGATCAACCTGTCAATCAGGATCCCTAGGTTGGTGACCACTACAGTCTGTACAGGCTACAAGAATCCTGCTACTCCTAGAAAAGCCACTGAATTAACTTGCTGTATATAATTAGACTTTAGCTCCTCTGGAGTACCACAGCTGACAGACCAGAAAAGATCTCTATTACATTTCTTGGTTAAAAAATATTTCTCCTCATCACACACTGCAGTGGTATGTTAAATACCAGATTCCTACTTTAAACTGAGACACTGCCAAATGAAAGGAACTCTGATATTAATGATACAGCTAGAAACAGTACTTCAGTGCACTGCACTCAGCAAAAACTGGAGCATTGTCTTTAAGATTAGCAAACACTAGTACTTAATAACAGAGAAGGGCATGGTCCGACTACAGGACTGGCAACTAAAAACATTAGAGTCATTAATGTTAGCCCTGCTACTAATGTATAGTGTGGCCCTGGACATTCTTTGTCCCATTGTAACCAATGTCAGACGGGGGTAACATCTGCCTCACAAGTGACATGGAAATGCACACAGTCACACTCATCAGGTTGAAGCAGGAAAGGTTCCTGACTGATAGTACAATTTTATCACCATTAAGTATCATGTATGAAGATTCACACTTTTACAGAAATAAATGTAATGCAAATCACTTTGACCACCCTATCCAATCCACACCTAAATCTTAAAAAATGCAATACTTGGCCACATTTCATCTAATTAATTTCATTAGTATGGAAATTTCAGGTCTTTTCCCACATTACAAAGTCTAGATTTGAACATGGTCACATTATACTGGAATACAAGGTTAAAGTAATTTTGAAACATAGTAGGGGTGCACTGATAGAGATTTTTGGGGCTGATACAAAGAGCTGATTTTTAAGGAGGCATATTGGTCGATACTGATCTAATTTCCGACACCAGCCTAGCAGATTGGAGAGTTGCGGGCAGCTGGTAAGTCTGGTGCAGTGGAAGGGGAGGGAAGAGGCATGGGGGGACAGATCAAAGCCCCCGCGATGAGGGATGAGTGGGGCTGAGGCAAGCGCTGCCCAGCTGGGGTGAGGTGGACGCGGGACAGAGAGTCATGGCTAGCCCAAAGCAGGGAGCGGCATGGCTCTCACTGCTGTGCACTGCTCATCTGGGAGCCACTGGTCTTGCACAGCATGGAGGGGGCGGGGCATGTACCCCCTACTTCCCTCACTCTTGAACTTTGGTGGAGGATCAGATATGGCTCCCAGGGTGAGTAACTCTGGCCACCCCCGCAATAGGTATAGAAGAATCAGTGCTGGTACTCTCTCGCGTACGAGCTGTCCACATTGTGTTTTGCATTATGTACTATGAATTTTACACATTTATACTATGCAGATTAGAGGGAAGTATGGTAAACTAAACTGAAATAAATAAAACATGGGATACGTGCTCATGATAAAGGTGACAGCAGCTGAAACTGACTCCAATTTATGTAAACTACCATAAGAACAACATTCTGTACTCTGGACAAGCGGTCTGTGTGGCCCTCAGCTGGGCAATGCCTACCTCCTATAAAGCATAAGCAGAGATCCTTAAAAGAGCACAGAAACATTTTCTAGAAGTCTGTAAAGACAATCCTATGATACTGAAAATGTATAAAATGTTCAAGAGTAATTCATTTGTATTAATTTTATTACAAGCACTTACTCTTACTAGTAAAAAAGCAATTATCTGCAAGGAAAACTTACCTTTCTGCTGTAGGGGTTACTAATAACCAGGTTGGTGTCATCTGAACCTGATAAAATATATTCTCCTGTATCATTCCAGCAAATTGTATTCACCTGTAGAACATACGTAAATAAAACTGTAGTTAATTTAGGAAAAATCCATGCAAGAAATAAAACACCCCAAAATACATACATATGAACTGCTTAAACTTTCTTAAAATATATAAGATGCTAACGTACGTTCAGAGACCTGATTTTCATTCCTATCCGCACTTTGTGCAGTATACTCTTCCATGCACATGTAGGGGACATGGCTTGCGTGCAAATATTTTATTAAATGCATGCATAGGCAGCTGATAGCAACAGAAAAGCACAGTG